TGCCCAACGTATCCCTGTACTGTTTTTTTCATTGTTGGGTTTTTTGGAAACTTTAAGAGGTATTTCCTGTTTACTGTGTGGCAGAGAAACAGGCTGTAGAAAACTCATTCTAAGCACAAACACCAAAGAATCCTTAACTATTCAATACTTGCATATTACAGTTATGTTATCAGGTTTAATTTCCAGTGACTGCCAATAAGCAAGTGGTCACAATTTACCAGAAAAAAGAGGAATCAATTTATAAAAATAACATTTCAAAGTATCATGTAAAATTTACTTTTTTTCTAGACTTATAATGAGGCCTCCTGGTCTGAACATTCCCGAGGAAGGAGAACAAAAGAACTTTGCGTTGGTATTTACATTATCTAGGGGTAGAAGAAAAGACTACAGGACGACTTTGATGTTCTGAGGAGGACGGGAGATGATTTGGTATTTATTCCTTTTTAGTATGTGAATTTATACCAGATGGTCCATTTAAAATAGACCCCATTTTAAACCATTTTGTATGAAGTGGGGCCTTACAGAAAGCCCTCATTTCCTCTCTGGCAATGGCTGGTGTGAGATCAGCCTCCTGGGAATGGCTAGGCTGCTGGGCTTGCTTCTGCTGCCAACCTGCAGGAACTCATCTACTTCTGCCCTGCCACCAGCTAATGCCAGCCTGCCAAAAGGAGCTCTGGTAAGAGCAGTCCTAGCCAGTGACTGCCATGCAGGTCACAACATTTTCTCCCATCTCTGGGAATGGTGGATGCTAACCATACTTTTTTAGTGGGTTTCATTTATTGCTGGGAGAATTGGGAAAGGCTTCACAGATGATTCAAGGAGTGCATTAGTCAGATGGAGCGATGCGCTATGAGAAGCATCCCCTGACAGGGCAGTAGACTTTTGGGGGACACAAAGCAAGCAGATTAATGTGTTGGGGGTTATTGAGTTTTCCAGTTTGACTTGAGTTGAAGCCTGAAAAAACAGGGTGCCTTTGAGTCATGCAGAATTTGAGGGTGGCTGTGGTGTAGGAGTCTGGTCAGAGATACGGATTGAGAATGGAAAGATGATAGGACAGGTGAGCCTAAAAGGAAGTTTGAAATCAGATTCTGAAGTCCTTCCATGTTTTGTCTCTTCCAAGTGGTTTTCAACTCTGGCCTTTATACACTGGATAGCTCATGAAAATTTTTAAGAATCATTACATTTACATATTAGCAAGGTCAGTCTGTCTACAGTATGGAGTATAGTTATGAGAGGGAGAGGCTAGAAAAAGAGAGATTTCTTTCTTTCTTTCTTTCTTTCTTTCTTTCTTTCTTTCTTTCTTTCTTTCTTTCTTTCTTTCTTTCTTTCTTTTCTTTCTTTTTCTTTCTTTCCTTCTTTCTTTAAGTAGGCTCCATGCCGAGCATGGAGCCCAACATGGGGCTTGAACTCATGACCCTGAGATCAAGACCTGAGCTGAGATCAAGAATTGGGCACTTAACCGACTAAACCACCCAGGCATCCCAGGAATTTATATTCCTAAGAGTATCATTGGTCTCCTTAATTCATGAAGGCCATTCAGATTTTCTTTTTTATGATCAAACAATCTGTGTGCTCCTAAACATTATGGGGAATGGGTTCAAGGAGTTTTCTTTATGGGAGGAATAGTGCAGATAACTTCCAGAGCTCACCAAGGTCTTCAACCAAAGGTGAAAGGCTAGGTCTTGACAAACTGAATAATTGTACTTAGGTGAAACCATGTCACACATATTATTAATCAGCATGTTATATTTGTTAAAATATAAATATCTTTCAGAGGATTCGTTTCCTGTGGCTGCTACAACAAATACCTCAAACTGGGTGGCTTAAAACAGCAGATATGTATTCTCTCCCAGTTCTGGAGAGAAACCCAGAACCCAAAGTCAAGGTGTCCATAGGGCCACACTCCCTCTGGAGGCTCTAGGGAACAATATAGTCTTTGCGTCCTCCAGCTTCTGCTGGCTGTGGACTTAGCTTGACTCATGGCTGCATCACTGCGTCTCTGCCTCTGTGGTCACATCGCCTCCTCCCCTTCTGACTGTCTTCTCCTCCGTGTGTCTCTTATAGGGACGCTTGTCACTGGACTTAAGACCTATCACCCAGGATGATCTCCTCTCAAGATCCTTAATTACATCCTCAAGATCCTTTTCCAAATAAAGCAGCATTCACAGCTTCTAGCGATTAGGACGTGGGTACATCTTTTGGGGGCCATGATTCAGCCCAGTACAGAAGGCAATACATTCATTTAGACATAGGTTCCTTCTCTCTTCTATGTGAGTTGGGACAGCAGGCCATTTCCACTCTTTGTTGGTGCTGTTTGGGGACTGACAGTGCATCCCCACTGGACTGAGGAGGCTGATGGGAGAAAAGACACTGAAAGGGGTGGGAGGATACAAGGACACTGACCTCTCTTAAGTGTAAATCTGAATACTATGGAAACAGAGAATAACTTGCAGAGTAGGTCCCACTTCTTTCGTTCTCTGTTGTTATGGATGTGCTTAATTATAGCTTTTTAACTATAACTTGTCCATTTTAGAGTTTCTCTTTTAGCACATCATGTTTCTCAGTGAGTTTGCACGTTGACCTTCACTTCCATACCATGAAATAAGGGCAGAAACACCTCGTCCTTTTCTGTCTCCCCCCCTGCCCCCGTAGCACCTAGAACAATCCTCTACAGGGTATAAAATCCCTCAAATTGTGGTGAAGCTCTGTTTATGGGTGGGACTCAAAGATGGTATCTGTCAGGTTGTTTCAAAAAACAATCACCTTTATTTACCCAGCTGAGTTAAAAACTTAAGTCCACAGAAAACCCTGTACATAGACGTTTACAGCAGTTTTTTTTTCATAATTGCCAATACAGGTTTCCCCCACTATCCAAAAGCAGAGTGTTCTTATGAAAGCTTTCATAAGTTCAAATGGCATATAGTAAAGAAGCAAGTATCATTAATTTTTATGGAAAATTTTTGAGCATTCCCAGACACAAAGAATAACCTCTCTTAGGCTCTTCTGATACCTTAGGACACATCTTGCTAATGGATGCACAGAATAAAGGGAGGTAAAGCACAGATGCTCACAGACATGGTTCAAGGCTTTGGCAGCTGGGCGCTGAGATGCCGAGTGTTGTCCCAGGGCTGAGGTGCCGAGTGTGGTCCCAGCCCTGAGGTGCCGAGTGTTGTCCCAGGGCTGTGATGTCGAGAGTGTCCCAGGGCTGAGATGCCGAGTGTGGTCGTGGGGAAGGAGCTTGGTGGCACATCCCTCTCACTGCTTAGGGTGCAGCTGCCTCTAGATCTTCTCTCGCTGCAAAACAAATGCTGAACACTGTTTTTACTTTTGGTCTTTTTTTTGGTAAAAGTAAAAATTCTCTTCAGATTTCTTTCATTTAGTGAAAACAGGTAGTGATGTAGGTCTTTTGTAAAAGCAAAACGGCATAACACAAACTTTTGGAAAGTGGGGATACCTGTGCTTGGAAGCAACCAAGACATCCTGTAGCAGGTAAATGGATAAACAAATTGTCCTATAGCCAAATGTGGAATATTATTCAGTCCCGAAAGAAATGAGCTATCAAGCCACAAAAGGACATGGAGCTCACAAGAGTGAGCTCTAATGTAAAATGTGGTTTTTGGTGGCTGTCACATATGTCATGTTGGCTCACTGATTATAACGAAAGTACCACTCTGGTGAGGGATGTTGATAATGGGGACGTATGTGGGGGAAATGGGGGAAATGGGAGCTTTGTACTTTCCCCTCAACTTTGCTATGAGACTAAAACTGGTCCAAAAAATAAAGCCCAGATATTAAAAAAAAATCAACCATCTTTTTTTCCCCCCTTGCAGAAATGTCGGTGATTCATAAGTACTAGTCTCATTTTGGAAATTCTCTCTCAAGCAGATTTTTGCTATCTTATCTTTTCCCCTTGAGGATAAAACCCAAGTTTGATATTCAGACCATTAGATAAATAATATTTTTGGATACAAATTTGAGACTAAGAAGTCACTGAACCAGCATTTCTTCTGAAATGTTAGTTCTGGACAACTGAGAACGCTGCCCTTTTGGGAGTGTTCGTTGGACAGGAGAGGGTAATTTCATGGCCATCTCTTAAGGAGATCCCACAGAGGGAGGGAAATGCCTGGCCGTGGGAGATACAAAGAAGTCCGTGTTCCCCTGCAGGGCTTCATTCCCCCGGCTGGGGGCGGGGGGTGGGCAGAGTCCTACAGGCTTATTCTATGGTGACAAAACTTGAGTGTTTGGTATCCAAAAGTGATGTCATACTTACCTAACTTTTGGTCAATCATAGGTTTGGTTAGATTGGTTGAATTTCAAGACTAAGAGGAAAATTGGAGGATAAAGTTGGTTCCTTTTGATCACACCCTGGTGCACACAGACAGAAATCAAATAGAAAAACCAGCTGTCATCAAATAGTGAAAATATTGGGACAAGAAATAGACAGTGAGGCATCACAAGGAAATTCTGCAAGACTGAGTTAGCTATAGTCAGCCACCAAGTCTGTTGAATGCCCACTGAGCACTTCCTTTCTCTGCTGTCTGCTAAGTATTCCCATCCTCAGTAAGGTAGACTCAGGGCTAAAGAATCTTTGAGACCATCTGAGTACTTGGGAATAGCCTGGCCTCTCATGGCCTGAGTGACCTCAAACGGCCTCTGCACTGTCAGGGACTGACATGCTTGCCAACTCAAGGCCACCCAAACCTGACAATTCTGACACACACACACACACACGCAAAATGGGCTTCCCCATCTTGTTCTTTAATGTTTAAAAGCTTTAAACTTTTCAGATGTGTTTCAGAGGTAGAATCTTCATAATACAAGTAGAGTTAGGAAGTGATTTAATAATAAGTCACTTAGTAGTTTATTCATAGTAAGTAATAAGTGGATAATATTGTTCATTTAATTACAAGCCTTATCAGTGCCAGCCACAGTGCTGGGTGGTGGGACAAATCAGAGATGACTCGGGCACAGATCCTCCACCCAGACACTCCCAGCCCAGGCACCTGATGGGATGAACTTCTAAGCAACAATAACATGAGGTGGACAGACAGCGGTTACTGCCCGAGAGCAGCTCCAATGACCAGCAGCAGCGGCTCGGAGGGAGGGGTGGGGGTTACTTCCAGCTGAGGCGACGGAGGAGGTAATATTAGCGCTATTAGCAGTCAGCTGGGGAGGCAGGGGTGGGTCTGCAGACGGACAGATGGGAGGACAGAGCATCCTAGGGGCCGCTTGAACACCAGTTCCGGGGGAGGAGACACGCCTGCCTAGTGAGTGTGAGGGAAGGGGGCCCGGAGAGGGTCTGAGAGGGAGGAGGCAGTCAGGCCAGGCCATGTCAGGCCTAGAACAGGCGCTGCCGGGAGTGGAGATACCAGAGCTCCTTGAGCTTCCCGGAGGAGACCTGAGGAGCAGAGGAAGGAGAGGGAAGTGGTGAAGAGCCGGACTCTGGTTGGAAGGTTTCTTAAAACTGTCTGTTTCTTTTCTTTTCTCTCAGGAGAGTTGTGGCCATGGGTGTAGACCAAGGGGGAGAAGCAAGGGCAGAGGGAGGGGGAGACCTGAGTGGAGAGCTGACAGGGGGATGGCAGGAAGAGCCCTAGAAGACGCCGACAGGAGCGTCCACAGCAGCTTTATTTGTCACAGACCCAAAGGGGGGGCTCAGGTGCCCACCCACAGGGGAGTGGGTCATCACACTGTGGCGGATGCACTCACACAACGGGATGCTACCCGGCAAGGCAAAAGTGGAAAACTCGTATTTTAGGAACAATGTGGATGAACCTCACAGACACAATGCTGAGGGAAACTGAACTACTGCAGACCCAAAAGAGTTCCTATTGTTGCATTTCTGTGAACTTCAAAATGAGGTATAACTAATCTGTGGTGAAGGCGGTCAGAATAGTGGTTATCAGTGAGGAGGGTATTAGCTGCCAAGGACCACGAAGCAGCCTGCTGGCGGGGGGGCAGTGGCTGGAAATGTTCCACATCCTGACTGGGGGGGTGATAGCACAGTTGTATACCTGTGTAAAAACTTATTGCACTCTGCATGGAAGAACTGTGCATTTTATGTAATTTATTCCCTGAGAGAGAGAGAGAGAAGAGAGATTGGGCAGAGCAAAGAGGTAGATGAGAAGATGGGAGCAGAGCAGGGGGAAGGTGTCAGTACGTGGGGACGTTAAGATAGAATGAAGACAAATCGCAGTATTGCTTCGGACTCCTCACCCATCCAGGTGTGAGCAGATAAATGCTTCACCTGGAGCGGTGGGCATGATGGGGATGGGAAGAGAGGGATGGATCCTGCAAAGGAATAATCTGCAAAAGTTGGTAATGGAGTGTGGCACAGAGGGGGCATCCAAGTAAGAAGGGGTAGGCTAAGACTCTCCTGAGGCTCAGAACCTAGAAGCATGCCTGAGGCACTACTGTGTCCAAGAGACAGTCATTGACCCACGTACCCGGGGCTCATCCCATTATGGAACACGAGTACACCTTGAATTCATGGCGCTCAGTCTTGTGGCGGTATTATTTAGCTGCTTGTTCTAGCTGACTCACCAGGAACATTTGGAGTATAAGCAAATAGCAAATATCTCCGGGAATAGTTCAGTTTCACATCAGCTCTCCATCTCATCCTTGACAAGATTGAACGAAGCAGGATTTGGGGTTTGCAGTCTGTTAAATGCAGTCACTCACGCTGGAGTGATGCCACTGTGAATTGGGGGGTGCCGATCCTATGAGTTCACAAAGGGCACACAACGAAGGGCCTGTTCTCCCCCATGCTGGTTGGAGCGGCCCAGGGCAGAAAGCGAAGGGAGGGAGATGCAGCAAGCCCACCATGGGCATAAAGCCTCGCCTCTCCCAGGCAACATTGGAAGAGCCAGGGAAGCACGATGTATGTGGCCGTGCTCTACCACTGGCCTCATATCCTTCCTAAGGCATCCTGAGCTCCCCTGGGATGGAGTTCTTTTCCTAGGTGATAGATAATGAGATGCAGAAATGTTGGCCACGTAGGCAAGTTCAAGAAAATGGGCTCTCAGGAATGCTGGGGGGCTGGAGGCAGAGATGTTGTCTGGGGTCTACTGGCCACTGATCCTATCTTCTCCCTGCAGACGAGGATGTGGTCTCACTGCTGCTGAGTATAGGTCAGATCCCGGAGAGCTTGATGCTTGTAAACAGTTCCATAAATGTAAGTACGCAGATTGTTGGTGTAAGTTCTTCCTGGGGTGGGATGAGCCTGAGGCTAAAAGGACAGTGGTTGAGGGAGGCCTGGGCTGTTTTCTCAGCTCTGGCAGAGTTCCATCCTCAGAGTGCAGCTGGCAGCTGTGCATTGTAAAGGCACGCAGGAGCAAAGGAGGAACCCCATCAGGATACGTTGCACCTGCTCCAGCTCGGTGTGACCACTTCCGTTCCCTTATGCTCTGTATCTTGGCTACATAAACAGGGTTGTAACATGAACATGGCCATTCGACACGTGTATGAGAACCCTTCACTGAAACCTAACTCACTGAGCCAGTGCTGTAAGGCTAGGGAGAGGGGTGAGGCATGAAGGGAGCAGGGTGTTGGGGGGCTCAGGGAACACAGCAAGTATGCGATGCACCCCTGGGCTTCAAAACACATATAGCCAAAAATACAGACAGCTTAAGGTAGGCCCCAAAGACACAAACATGAGAAAACTCAAGGCCTAGAGAACTTAGGGGTAGGGAGAGAGAAAGGGAGAGGAAAGGGGAGGGGAGAGAGCTGCCAGCAAGGGCAGTCTGAGAAGGAAGGCATCATGGTGAGAGGACACTTGATCTGGGTCTCAGGGGCAGCAGCTTAAATTTGGGATCAGCAGAGAGAAGGGAGAACATTCCAGAAGAAAGAACTGGTGGGTACAAAGGCACGGAGGTGTGGAAGTGGACACTATGTTCAGGCACAGGGAAGGAGCAGAAATTTCATGTGCTGGGTGATAGCCATGCCTGGGTGAATCTACTCGCTGCACATGTATATGAGGCCATATATATATATATATGAAGCTGTGAACTAAGTAGAAGGTGGGAGGATTAAGAAAATGTTTTTAAAGGAATAGTAAAATATAGCAGATTTGCTAACTTAGTACTGTACATGTAGTTAACATAGCAAAAAGACAAGGAAGCCTTGCTGCCATGCTCACATAGTCACTATATGACAGATTAACCTAAATCCTCCCTTTGAGCATCTTCAAGATCTCAAAGCAGCCTGGCCATGTGGGATAGCCATCCTGGAGCCTGGCCTACAGACAGGCATGTCTGATTCAAATGCTGGCTCTGCCACTTTCTAGCCATGTGACACTTGGCAAATTACTTGACCTTCCTGGGCCTTAGTTTTCTCATCCATAAATAAGAATCCCATAATAGTATGAACCTCAGAAGGTTGTTGTATGGTGAAATGAACCTGGGATGAACCAAGTTCAGCGTCTGCACATGGTGGGCACTCGGCAAATGTTAGCTACTTTTCTTCTTATTACAAGTCAGAGGAGCTGACAAGATTCAGTGCACTTGCCCCATTGGTGCTAAGACATGCGTGACTCATAAGGCCCCCCTGGTAGGGAGCTCTGGTTGCCCACCCAATATTTCTTCTCTCCCTCCTTCTTACTAAGTGACCTTTCATTTTATTCAATGTAGCAGTGTGCCCAGATTAAACACACATACATGTGCACACATACCTGTTTTTCCTAGCTTCCCTTGCAGCTATGAGTTACCAGGTTCTGGCCAGTGAGATGTCAGCACGAGGTGTACCCTCTATGAAGCTCCCAAGCGAGCTGACTCAACAAGCACACCACTCTGTTCTATGTACTCTTCCTCCTTCTTCCTACCTGAAATCTAGATGTGATGGCCGAAGCTTCAGCAGCCTGGTTGAACGATGTGTTGGTCTTAACGATGGAAGCCTTGGACTAAGGCTGGATGGAGAGACAAGGAACAGAAGGATAGGTGGTGCTTGGGGCCCAGAAGGTGATGGAACAGCACAGTAGTCTTAAACTGTCTATCTCTTAACTTCTCATTACATGATAAACATAAACCCCTACACTGTTTAAGTCACTGTGTCTGTGATACTCACCACTAATTGCAAATTGGAAATGGTGCATTTCTCCTTGACCAAAAAATGTGATTAGGGGATAGAGCCGGTTGGACTGATGCCAGAATTCTTGGGTAGGCGACTCGTTCCTTCCATGCCCTGGCTTCTCCCTTTTTCTCTCTCTCATGCTAGTTCCTTCAGTGGGCTGAATAACGGGCTCAAAAAAAAAAGATATGTCCATGCCCTAATCTCCAGAACCTGTGAATGCCACCTTATTTGGAAAAAGAGATGTAGTTAAGTTAAGGATCTTGAGAGGAGATCATCCTGGATTCTCTGGGTGATTCCTAAATCCAGTGCCAGGTGTCCCTCTGAGAGACACACAGAGAAGACAGACAAAAGAGGAGGAGGCGATGTGACCACAGAGGCAGAGATGCAGGGATGCAGCCATGAGTCAAGCTAAGCCCACAGCCAGCAGAAACTGGAGGAGGCAAAGACCAGGTTGTCCCCTAGAGCCTCCAGAGGGAGTGTGGCCCTGGGAACACCTTGACTTTGGCCTTCAGAACAGTGAGAGGAGACATCTCTGCGGTTGTGAGCCCCCCAGTTTGTGGTGATTTGTCAAAGTAGCCACGGTAAGCTCATACAGACCCACTGGCACACTGAATCTCAGGCTTGCTTGCGTGGTGCGGGGTTGGGGCCATGAATCCTTTGCAACCCTTCAACTCTCCTTGAACCAAATAGCTGTGTTCTCACACAGAGATGCATCGGCCAGGCCACTGGCCCTTCCTAAGGAGAAAGAAGCAGGCCTACACCATTGACATTCCCTGCTATTCCCCTTCACAGACTCTATCAACAGCTGTATTCCAGTGGTGGTGGCAACCCTACATACACAGAAGACTAAAACCATTTGGAGCCAACGGGAGGACACAGACAGACCCTCTTTGCTCTGAAATGTCTCCGGGTTTAGAAATCTAAACACATATTCCAGTTGGTCAAACTTCCTGAAGGACTGGGAGAGATTATAAGGTTGCATAATGCAGCTAAACGACTGTACTGCTTGAGTTTCCCTCCACCCCCACACTGGGACCAGTGTTAGGAGAGGCAGCTGGGGCTGGAGGATGGGAAACAGAAGGGCAGAGAAACATGGGAAGTGCACCCAAGAATCAAGAACCTTCCAACAGGCTCTGGGAAAAAAAGCTGTTGCACTAGCTTTCTCAGAACTGGAAAACAACATAAGGTGGTGGTTGCATGTTGCTGTCACTCATGAATTTGAGTCCAGGTTCTTTCTCTAACCAGCTGTGTATCCCAGACCAATTCAGTCTGTAAGATTTGTCTTCCTTACCCACAAAAATGGGGCTAGTAACTATGCTTACCTCTTCGAGTTTCTGTGGGGATTAAGTAGGATAAATGCAAGGAAAGTGTTTTGGAAGTACCTGGTGCAAGGGAAGTACATAATATTAATAGAAACAGTGCTTAATTTTCAACAGAATCCATGACAATAAAGGCACGAGGCTTTTCCAGTCTTAGAAACCTATTAATAAGGGTGCTTGTGTGGCTCAGTCGGTTAAGCATCTGCCTTCCAGCTCAGGTCATGATTCCAGAGTCCTGGGATCGAGTCCCGCATCAGGCTCCCTGCTCAGCAGGGAGTCTGTTTCTCCTTCTCCCTCTGCTTCTTCCCACTGCTCATGCTCGCTCATACACTCTCTCTCTCAAATGAATAAATAAAAATTCTTAAAATAAAAAAGAAACCTATCAATAATACATCTGCTTCCTGTGGACAAGTTGTTCAATCCCAAACTTTCAAGGACTTCTGTTTGTATCTTTTTTGTTTGTTTTTAAACAAAGCTGGCCCAAGTCTCATACCATAAAATTCCTCCATTCCCATAATCTTGCCTACAGTTCCACTGTAAGGGCTTTACTCTAGAATCCAGAGGGGTCAGCAAGCTACCTGGTGAGAGCCAGAGAGTAAATCTTGTAGGCTTTGTAGGTGACACATGGTCTCTGCCATGTATTCTTCTTTTTTACATTTTTAACTTGAGAGGACTATGTAGGCTGGATTTGGCCCAAGGGCCAGGGTTTGCGGGCCCCTGCTAGATGAAGGCTTAAAGAAACCTGGAGTTTGTCTGATTAAATTGCCCATCTGCATAAACGGGTCTTTGGGAAGTATCTAACAGGGAAAGGGGCTCTTTGCCTTCTCTCTCTCTCTCTCTCTCTCTGTCAGGAGAGGAGAGGGCAACGGTGGCCACAGAGGGAAGGGACCCATCACAGAGATTAGCTGGTTGAATGACGTAAAGTAGACAGGAAGATGGGGGTCACGTCTACACTGCCTGAGTCTGCCCAGGGCCAGCCTGTTTCAGACTATTTAGCCATCAGTGAAGAACAGGTGAGAACCAGACTAACATCTGGGCTTCAATATGGCTTTCATCCCACTACTCAGAAATACTGTCATTTTTCAGCAGTCCAACCCAGGAAGATGCTCAGAAGTTAAAAGGCTAAAGTCCAATTTCATAAATAATTCACTCCTGTTGATAGGTTCGCCTCATCTCGTAAGTTTTCATTCCAAGCAGCAGAAGATGGGCCTATAGTTTGGACTCTGACAGCAACAAAGAAACTCTCTGGATGATAAAATGAGCTCATAAATATGAACCCCAGGTTCCATCTGCATTTGGTAGAAAACTGGCTGGTGAAGGCACCAGCCACTGAGCCAGGTTCACAGGATACAGGTTCACAGAGCAGAAAAGAAGAATGCTAGAGATTGATGAAATTGAGCCTGGAAGGAATGTCAGCTATTCTCTGATCAAAAGAGAAATGGTGCTAGATCAAGTTTTTCTTTATCCAAAATTTCAAAAAGAAAAAAAATTATAAACCTGGTCCACAGAATTTGGAATGATAATTCTTTTTTTTTTTTTTTTAAGATTTTATTTATTTATCAGAGAGAGAGAGAGAGACAGAGGCAGGCAGAGGGAGAAGCAGGCTCCTTGCTGAGCAGGAGCCTGATGTGGGACTCGATCCCAGAATCCTGGGATCATGACCTGAGCCGAAGGCAGACGTTTAACCGACTGAGCCACTCAGGCATCCCTGGAATGATAATTCTTAACGGTCTCCACTAAGGTGTATATTTCAAGGGGGTCTTTGTTTCCCAATACAACCCATTCTTTCCCTGAGTTTCTTTATACCCAATGTATTTGTTATGTTTCTCCAGAGCAACAGAACCAATAGAATATGTTGTGTGTGTGGGTTGGGGGTGGGGGAGGGGGAGAGACAGAGAGAGAGACAGAATGAGAGAGAGAGATTTATTGTAAGGAATTGGCTCACATAATTGTGGGGGCTGGCAAATCCAAAATCTGTAAGGCAGGCCATAGGCTAGAAACCCCAGGAAGAGTTCAGCTTGTAGTTCAAGTCCAAAGATAGTCTGCAGGCAGAAGTCCCCCTTCCTTGGGAAACTTCAGTCTTTCTCTCTTACGACATTTAGCCAACTGGATGAGGCCCACCTGCATGATGGAGGGTGATCTGCTTTACTCAGAGTTCACTGATTTAAATGTTAATCTAAAAATACCTTCACAGCAACATTTAGACTGGTGTTTGACCAAATAGCTGGGTACAGTAGCCTAGCCACGTTGACACATAAAATTAACCATCGCATCTATCATCCTACTTTTTTCTTTGGACTCCCCAAATTAGCCACAGGTACTGGATAATCTAATTGTGACCATGCCATACACTATTACCTGGGATGAGAAAAGGGAACAAGAATAGATAGTGTCCCCAAATGGCAGATTCTATCCATTAGACATGCATTTGACTGTAAGTGAGGCAAAATTGGATGAATAATAGCTCAAAAGAAGAGTTTAGTTTTCTCTCATATCCAGAAGTCCAGCGATGCCATAAGAGACCCATACTCTTTCTGTCCTTTGCTTTGTTGCTTAAATGTGTTGGATTTTTTCCCCACATGTTCATTGTTTCATGTTAGCTTCAGATAGCACACAAGCATTCAAGGCACAGAAAAAGCAGGGTGGGAGTAGAGGTGGTAGGGGCTGTGGCTTTTTCCTCTGTTAGAAAAGCAGAGCTTTCCCAGAAACCGCCTCAGCAGCCTTCCACTTGTTTCAATAGACAGACCTCTCGAGCAGCAAGGGAGGCTGGAAAAGCAAGTCCTTCCTAGGGCTGGGAACACGGCTGTTCCAAACAGAACAGGTTCTGTTAGCAAGAAAAGAAGGAGACATGACAGTCTACAGTGATTTTTATCTGGATTTGAGAAGTTCTTTAGTTATGCATTTTGTCATTCATTCAATAAACACATCTTCTCTATGGTAGACTTGAGATGCCTTGTTGAATACAACAGTGTACTTGCTTTTAAGAAAATCAAGCCTGTGGTGGTTTCCAAAAAGTTGGCGGGTGGCAACTCATGGGAGGCAACCAAGGGTGGATGCATTCAATAATTGAAATAAACCACTTTTTATGAGACAGAGGTGTAGGAGAGGGATACCTAGGTCACTCTTCAGGAAGAAGTGGGTGGAAGCATTGGGACAGCTTCAAAGAGAAGGTGATGGTAGAGCAGAGCCTTGAAGGATGACTAAGAGCTGGCCTTGAGGAGGAGCAGGCAGAAGTAGAGCAGAAGCAAAGGTCTGCAGTGGGAGAGCAGGTTCTGTGAATCAGTCTGGGTCTCCCCCGGAAAACAGACACCTCTTTGGGTTTATACAACAGAGGGAATTGAAAGCAGAGGGGCAGCTCTATGACAGAGAGAGATGCTGAGAGCTGAACACGGGCTGATGAGGCACTGCGGAAGTTTGCGTCAGCAGGAAGCCACCGTCACCTCTGCTAGAGGGAGAAAGAAGGGCTGAAACCCAGAGCTGAAACCTCAGTGGGCCTGTTTGGGGAGAGCTGGAACTGCAGAAGACACATACTTACTGCTTTAGAAGCCATCAAGGCAGCAAGGAGGGAAATACCCTGCCTTCTCCCTTCTTCCTATCCTCCATGATTTTACCAGTGGCTCACCGCAACCAGCTGGGCATCTGAAACAGTGCAGCCTGCAAGGGTCACTCACGATGGGTAAAAACAGAGCAGGGAAAGGGTGAGGTTGGATTCAGGGCAAACAGGCCCAGGACCAGAAATGCCTCTTTGGGTAACTGGGACTGTCACTCATGTGCAACAATGACCACCAACATTTAGAAGCATTGATGAAATGCTGGGAAGTATGATAAGTGTTCTATATGCATTACCTGCATTACCCTATTAAAGTAGGTCAGGGATGTAAAGAGGAATGGCAGGACATGGCGCTGCAAGATGGAATTAAAAGTAAGGCTTACATCACAAAGAATGTTTATGCCATGCCAAGAGATTTCTACTTACTTCTGAAGGCACTGGGGAATCAATGAGAGACTGGAAGCATAGAAATGATGTAATTTGATTTGCATTTCCCAAAGATCATTCTATGACTCTGTCTGAAGTTCTGAGCATTGCTAATTCACCAAAGTAAATAATGGAGATACGACTCAGGCTACTTGGGAGTGGGACCAGCTTCTCCTCTTACCTTCCCTGTCCTTCTGCTTAGAGCAGACAGCATCACTTCTGAACACTTGTGTCTTCTGTTGACATAGTAGGATCTTCGTTTACTTTAGCTCAGCAACACTGGAGCAGTAAAACCTTTTAAAAGCAAAATATTTATTGCTAATCTTTACAATAGTTACAATAGTTCATGTATTAATATATTACTCACCTCATTCACACACTTCCAGAGGAATCTAGATCCTAGCAATGTTTTAGAGACAGTCTTGCTCTACCTCCTGGTCCCTTAGAGAATATGTGGTCCTTCTGATTTGGTTTTCAACTTCTAAAGAAATCAGTGTCATCTGTCATTGGGTGTGGACCTGGCAGTTAGAGACAGAACCTCAAATTAACCCGAAGTGTCGACATGTTACCACCAGAGCTAAGCCTTATGGCCTCAGAAGATACATTTACAGTTTCTCTCTTCCAACAACCTCTTTCACAGATGAGAAAAGCGAGCCCACACAAACGAAGTAACTAGCCCAAGGATTTGAAAGTAGTTAGTGGAGGTAGGGCTACACCCCAGACTCCCAGACCAATACTCCTTTCACCCTCGACTTCATTGCCAAGGGGTGTAGAGCTAATAAGAAGATGCCGTTTTTTTTGTTTGTTTTGTTTTATTACTGAGAAATAGTGCTCAGTTGTCAAAAATGTCATCTCACACAAACGTAAGCGCAAAGGGGGGTTTGTTGGTTCAGGAAACAGTTTAGGGGGGATTCCAATTTCAGGCATGGGTCTGTCTAGGGGCTCACTGCAGTAGTCAGGACTCAGTCCCCTTCTGTTTCTTGGCTCTGTTTTCCTCTGAGCAGGCAGGTTTCATTCAGACAGGCTCCTCCCGTGATAGGACAAGGTGGTGACCAAGGTTCAGGCTCACAACCTGTCTGCGGAGTATCACGAGTGAAAAGAACGCAGCTCTTTCCCATTAATAGCAAAGAAAGTCTGGGTGTTGAATTTTACTGGTCAGTTTGAGTCATGTGCCTGTTCTTGAGCCAATCACTGCAGCCGAAGGAAATGGGACAGTCTGATTGGCTAGGTCTGACTCCCATGCCTACCTAGCGTTAGGGAATGGGCTCAGCTGCACCTATTGTCAAATTATTTATTTGGAGAGTGAGGACGGTGAGATTCCTCAAAGGAAAACCAAAGTTCCATCAACCCAAGAAGAGAGAACAGGTGCTGCTGGGCAGGCACAAAACTGGGATGTACTCTAGACACAGACTTAGGTCAAATAACAGAGTGGATTTTAGGTAATATGGGTGCGATTTTCTTGTTGGCTATTACCCCTTTCCATAAAATGAATTTCTCATGTGCCCACCATGAAATTTAGAGAAGCCAACTGTTCCTCCAGCTTCCAGTCTGTGGTTTCATAAAGGCTTTGAAGAATATTTAAGGTCATCCTGATTGGAGGACTATACCACCCCATCCCAACACCATGGCTTGATCATTTTTCTATTTGAGCAATTCTCTGGGAAACACTCTGGTTTTTCGTTTGTTTGTTTTGTTTTAAAGATTTTATTTATTTGAGAGAGAGAGAACGTAAGAGGGAGAAGCAGACTCCCCACCGAGCAGGGAGCCGGACTCGAGACTTGATCCCGGGACTCCAGGATCATGACCTGAGCTGAAAGGCAGTCACTCAATCAACAGAGTCACACAGGTGCCCTCGGGAAACACTCTCTTTACAAAGAGGCTCTCCTCTTGGCTCTGCTTTAGAGGCAGTCATTCCAACTGGTTTAATAAACTGAGTATTTAACAGGTAAGGTGCTCAGGGGTGAGGAAGGAGCTTGAGGTAAGGTGAATGTGTCTGCTCAGAACTCCCCCCAAAGAAACAAGGTTCCAAACAAATCTGAGCTTTCAAACAAAGAAGCAGCCTTTGGGGATGCCTTTGGGGATCATTGTGTATTTTGGGGCTTCAATGGACTTTTCATGCTTTGTGATAAATTAGCAAAAGCCAACTCAAGTAAACAAAAATATATAAGATTTTATTCCACTATGATATAAATCTCATCGATCTATTCACTGCTTCTGTTCCTTTTGGTCA